CAGGGGGGTAGGTCAACCACCAACCAGCTATCAAAGATGGTCATTCCATGTATCCTCACCACTGCCTTGAAGTTGCTATCCGAGGCGAAGGGGAGACCGCTCCGATGCCGCACAAGGCATCTAAGCCTTGATGGCTTAGAACCAAAAAAAAGTTGCCTAAACTGCACATGTTGGGGTGTGCGTTTCCATATGTCCATATGTATATATATATATATACTGTATATATATATATAGAAAATAAAATCAGACAAAGGCGGTTGAATTTTGAAAATAGTGAGGTGGATTGCCAATAAGAATGGCTCAACCTTGGTGAACGGTATGCGAAAACCAGTGAAATTTGGGCCACTCGTGGGAATTGGGGAGACCTAATATGGCCACCATTAGCCACCAGCTATTCAGGCGAAAACATGCTATAGCCAGCTATGTGTTTTGCTGGGTGTCCACATTGATCTTCGCAGATGTCCCTGTACCATCCTGTACCACTGTTTGGAATCTGAACCTACATTTATATAATTATTGTGAAACATTCTTGGTATTGCAGGTGCAGTATCATCCTTGCATCCATGCATTACTTGATGTCAAGGTCATGAACACCTCCTTTCCCTTTTTCGAGATCACTGGTTACCCACGTCAGCATAAATGGTTAGTAGATCTTAGTGAGGGGAGTCATCCCAAGATAATTTCTTTCTTGGCTCATATTTCTTTCTAGGTTCATATAGTTGAATTTTGGGAAAGTCTTTTGAAATGACTCCCCCCAGTTTGTTATAGAATTTGTTCTTTTTCCCGAAACTATTCAATTTATGATTTCTTTCTGTCATAGAAATAGGGCTTCTGTGGTGCCTAACTGCGAGAAGCCCAGAAAGCCTAACAGAAAACCCCCTAACGGGCCACCGGGCCTGACGCCACGCTGGCTCCACGGGAGGTCCTGATCTTTTGCCAATACATCGCAACCTTGGACTTTCTGGAGGCGAGTGGAGAAATCTTGGAACCAGCGAGGATCCAGGTGATGTCGTGATGTCCATAATTTTCCCATTTACCCGGCCTGGTTATTTAACACTTTGCTACTGAAAATGGCCATAGAAATAGTGGATTTTCCCATGAAAAATGGTGGATCTTTCCATGGCTATGTTAAATAACCAGAGGGTAGTGATCGGCGTAAACAAAAAAATGTACAGTGAGAGGAACAAACGTGAGTTGTTTGATAAGAAACTACCAATATCTACCAATGGTTTCCTTAAACTTTCCTGAGGGCTAAGTTGATGTCTGACTTGTCCAGGTTGCTCATGTTAATAAACAATGTTTTTGCTTGGTTTTGCCGGTGACATGCCAATTTACTTTACTGCTCATATAATTCCCTCTGACTTACCTGGTGACTTTTTGGGTTGTAAACATACCATCGTTGTCGGTGTTCCGACTCCAAAATCCATTAATTAAGCAACACAACTCCATTTTGGTGCCCGATGTGGTGTCAATGCCAGGTTCATCTGGAAAACCTTCAATTTATGAAATGGCCATGTTTGTTTGTTTCCCAGTAAAGTCTACCAGTGTATCAGCCCTCCTTTGAAGTTGAGTTCAAAGATGCAAGTCGACTTTTGACTTGCAAAGTAAATCCCGAAACAACATGAAACAACAATAGTTACAATCAAAGCCATTACCCTCAAATCCAATCCAATTTTGACAGGAGGATTCCAATGAAATCCTCCCACAATGCATGGAATATCCCTTTGGATGGTAAGACCCATTGATGTTCTGCAAAATGTGTCCACCATATAATGTAGATAACCATCAATGCGTACAACTCACTTGATGTATAAATGGACTGGTCCCACTTATTTTATAATGTGTTAAAATTAAATCCTAAGAATTATGTTACCAAATGTATTATTGGTTAATTATATCACATTCCTACTGTTGATGCTTAGCTACCCAAGATTCTGGATTAATGGTTCATCCATCACCAATTGGCTCTATCCCTAGCTTTTATACTAACTTCACCATATATTCTGTGGCTTAAACCCCCAGAATGATTTTCCTTGAAATCGAAGATGGGCCAGTCCTGACCGGCCAGTCCTACTGCGCCTACCGCAACTGGCGCAGCCTGCGTATGGACGGCGTGCGGAAGCCTGGCTATCCCATCACCATCGGCTTTGAATTTGGGTTTGTGAAATGACGTGATTATAGTGATTTAATGGGATTTTATAGTGATTTAATGGGATTTTATAGTGATTTAATGTGATTTTATAGTGATTTTATGGGATTTTATAGTGATTTTATGGGATTTTATAGTGATTTAATGGGATTTTATAGTGATTCAATGGGATTTTATAGTGATTTAATGGGATTTTATAGTGATTCAATGGGATATTAATGGGATATACCCTCTGGTAATTTAACAGTTTGCTATGGAAAATGACCATAGACATAATTGATTTACCGTTTTTAAAAATGGTGATTTCCATAGCTATGTTAACTTACCAGAGGGTAATTGGGATTTGTTGATTATGGGTCCATAATTTCTGGGGTATATAACTCGGTGAACTAGGGTGTATACTACGCTTTGCTGGGTTACTCCACCATTGTTTCTAGAGGACATCGGACTGTGCAAAGACTTAGTTTTGCTGAGCCGATTATTTGAAAACTATGGTATAGTTTAGATTTTAGATAACGATAGTTTAATGAATCAATTATCGGATCGACCATTTATGCCAGGCACTGATCGGGTTGTTCAGCCATTGGCAATTGGTAAATCCACCAGAAATGGGGAATCTATCCAATTTTTTTTGGGGGGTATCTTAAGCAAATCCCAGATTTGTTGACCATGTTCTTAATGATACTCATTTTTACATGTTTTTTTTGCACAGACATTGAATTGTTGCTTCATGATGACACTTAGTGTTTCTAAACTGGCCCTCCATTCATACGTCGCAAGTCGATTCATGTTTTACAACATTTTTGGTATATAAACTGATGATAACTGATGTTTGGCTGTGCACGATATTCTCCAAGCAAAAAAAGTGTTGATCAGAGCATTGTCCATGTAGCCATCAGCATTGGTCGTCTACCCCCATCTTGGGGTGTTCGTGAAAAACCAATTCTGTGATGTATTTTAATCAGGTCTAGATAGAGAAATGCATAAATCGACACATAAATTCAGAGATGTATCTACATGTATTTACTGTTAATATGTATCTACATGTATTCAGATGTATTTACATACTACACAATTCAAATTTATATGTGTATATATCTATACGCTCGTCTTAATTTTCATGCCTATTATTAAGCGCATCTTCCCTCTAGGCCACAAGCCGCGTCCTGCGCGAGTTGGACATGAGGGACTTCAACAGCCATGATGAGGCAGACTAAAATCCGATCTATAATCATCTGTAATCATCTGGTTAATGGTGGTTAATGGTGGTTAATGGTGGTTAATGGTGGTTAATGATGGTTAATGATGGTTAATGATGGTTAATGATGGTTAAATCATCTGGTTGGTGATTTGGAACATGACTTTTATTTTCCATTTCATATATGGGATGTCATCCTTCCCATTGACGAACTTTTATATTTTTCAGAGGGGTAGGTATACCACCAACCAGATAATTTTCCGCAGTAACGAAATGGGGCCCGAAACGTTTCGACTTCGTCATCGTAAGATATCGTAAGTGGAAAGAATTGGAAAGCCGATTTAGCCATGATACCCTCTGGTAATTTAACATAGCTATGGAAAATCACCATTTTTAAAATCCACTATAAATGGCCATTTTCAATAGCTATGTTAGTTTACCAGAGGGTACAACCCGTTGATGTTTGGTGGTGAGAATCCCTCAGAATCCAAAGATGTTGACTGCAAAACCACCGCCGGTTGATCGGAGACCACAACATCCACAACACGTTGCGTGTCAATCTTGGATAAGACTACCAATCAGCCAGAAAAACGATGGAATCCAGCATTTAGAATAAGTATCATAATTTATATAGTTGAATCGTGTTTATGAAAAGATACTGAATAGTTGTTGATAGATGCAATCTTTTGTAACATAGACTGGCCGGGTGTTGGAGACGGGGTGGTCAACCTTGGGTTGATAAAATCGAAGGGTAAACTGGGTCAGCCAAATCCACAGCTGAAGCCCATTGAAGCCCTCTTTAGGGCACCCATTCAGAATGGGATTACAGGGCTGTTTTTCAAAAACGAAGTAGGTATTTATACCACAGCATAGAAAATTACCTCCATTCTGGGGAGATCTGACTAAACTGTTGGTGAAAATCCAGGTTTCAGCACAAAAAAAGTGATTTGACATGCAACGAAAGAGCGATGTGATATTTAGATACTGATCATTACTGATCCCTGAGATATTTAGGAACTCAGGGGTATCATTAATTTCATGAGGCATTCATATAATGATTTGAATTTGTTTGTCGGTATAGTGGTATTGAACAAATCACAACCAGCATCGAAATCCATGCTGATCAATTCCACAGAAATACTGAAGGTGACCAAACACTGTGCAGTTCCAAATAGGGATTACACCCTGTGGCTCAAAGATGGGGTAGCCATTCAATGTTGCGACATCTTTGAGCCTTGGACATTGCAGCTAGACATAGCTTGACAATTCTCAGCCATGAATATCGGCAATGGTTTCTTGTTTTCTCAACTTTGGTTAGTTCAAAATCCACTTCTGTTGGATGTAAAATTAAAAATGGTGGATCTTTCCATAGTTTTCTGTACGTTTACCAGAGGGAAATCCACTGTCCCTATTTGGTCAACTACCAGTATGACTGGATAGTTCCCAAGCTCCATGGTGGTTGGATGAATGGGATGACATCACTATGGGATGACAGAACAGTTTTTTCACAGTGGATCAATGGCGACTAATAGTCATCATAGATAGTACTGTAGTGATATTGCATATGAATGTGACGATGCTTGTGAATGAAAAAATGCCCAAGCGTCCTTGCCTGGCTGTCCCAGATAAAGGCACAGCTTGGAGCTGTGAAGAATGGGGCGTTTCATCTTCGTCAATGAACAGGGGAACTTGGTGTCGCCACCGACTTTGAGCCGCGCCTCGGCAGTGGTGCATTGTGCAGGTCAGCGCCACAAATGCACGGCCGATTCGGGATCGCTGACCACATCCTGGGTGTTGGTGAAATCCCAACTGTTGAATAGCTTGGTTTTTGTAGCTGGTTTCCAGGTGAAACCCCAACGAAATGAGGCGCCCCTAATGCCCCCAGAAAATGTGTGGCTGTCCCATTAGTATTGTTGGTCAGATCCCAAGTTTCATCAAGCTACAAAACAAAAAAAAACTTTCTTATCAACTAGCCAAAAGCAAGTATCAACTTGCAATGCTTGGTTTCATTGCTTATCCCCCACGTTTTGCTACCTCCAGTTAGCTCCAGGATCTTTTCGTATACCTCATCGGCACACGCGCTGGTGGACTTGGAGTGTCTTGGCGACACGGGATGTGTCCCATGGTCAGGTCAGTTGGCTTGGATACCCATAATAATATTGGGGTATCTCTATGTTTAGAAAATGACTATTGAATATGATTATATATAATATATGACTATATAATATCTAATATTATAATATATATATATATATTACATGTTATATATGGAGATGGATTTATAAAGCGGGATCATTTTACATAAATCCCCAATCCCTGGGGGATGGTCATCCAATCATAGGAATGTCTCTATTCTGGGATGACAATAAACCATATACCATCATATACCATGTTTTGACTATGGCACATGTGGTACAATAGTATAAAATAGTACTATACTCACTGGGATATTCGTGGATAGTAATGGTTAATGGGGATGTAATGGGATATATTACTTGAATATTACACTGATAGAATCTTGATTAATACCCTGCTGTGTCATCACACATGGTGATTTTTTGTGGAAATCCTCAAACAAAAATTCTGGTTTATAGCTGAGAAAATCATTGGCGTTTTCCAGCAAGACATTCTTGATCGCAGGAGGCTTTACCATCTATGTTTTGGATGCGAACGTTGGGTAAAGCAGGGTTCGATGGGCTAATGATCTTATGGGATTTTTCTTGTTACAAGAGTCACAAATCACAAACAATGATAAGCATCGTGTCCTGCAAACCGTATCCAACCTGCCAAACGAGCCCCCTCAATCATACATATATCATACATTAAAAATGCCCCACCTCAAAAAATATCATGGCTGGTGTGTTTTTTTTTTACCCAGTGGCTTTTGGATATTTGAATATCCGGTGGTGTTTTTTTGGATATTCTTGGTTAACCTCCCCTTCTTTGATTGGTTCTACCTCACCATATCCTGCCGTTTTTTCACCATCTGAAGTCTTCCACCTGACTTCGAAAACAGAAGTACTTGGAGCGCATTCCAGTTGGAAAGTGCCGTAATTTTATAAGTCCACATTCATATTATATATATATATACACAGTGTAGAAAGAGGATACAACATGGTGTAGAAAGAGGATATAACATGATACATGGTTATACATGGTTATACATGCTTATACATGGTTATACATGCTTATACATGGTTATACATGGTTTTACCTCACTTACTACTCATACTTCGCATCGAAGTATGGGAAGGAGCACTTTTTCAGATTTTGTCCCCAAATCTCGCCATTTTTGGGGGAAAAATCCAGGTGAATTTGGCCTCGGCCAACCACGTGGTGATCTTCGAGCAGGCGCCAAACGCTGACGTCTCAATCAGATGAGTTGCTGGGATCTTCCTGATTATTCAAAAATAACCGCTTAATAACTAAGAAGATTGGTTGATATCCAGAGGTATTTGAATTATTGGTCAAATTTACTTCCAGATCGTGGATCAAAATATGTTTGCAGATGTATTATCATTGCCAGTACATTAGAGAGATATACGAATGGGATTATTGATGAGTATTGTAACCCATAGGAATGGGAAACCTATCAACCAACTTGCAGGGATGGGATAGGGGTATTCTTAACGGCTCAACTGAACTGATCAACGAAGATTGTGTTTTTTGAAGAAATCAATAAAGACATGGGAATTACCGTGGTTTAAAATGCTTGAAGTCTTGGATTTTGTTCATTTTGGGTTCCCATTTCGGTTAGTATTGTGGAAAGGCCAAGGTGCCAACGAGTCAACGTAGATCCAAAATCAATGCATTGACCATCGCAAGTTGAGAACCAGAAACTGACCCGTCATTGGAAACCGTGCTTATCAGGGTAATAAGTCAATTGTTTAGGAACAGGTGCAGAAATATGTTGCCAAACAAGTTCTTTATTTGCAGATATACGAAAGTATTCGCAGGGTATCAGTCTATCTGCATTCTTGTTGGTGAAGATTATCTTTTAAAAAATATGTGGAAGGGTTAGCAAAATTTCTGAAAACGTAGTTTCTTTTTGGGGGAGGTACCATATATACATATATAGACATATAAGTATACATATAATTATACATATATGCTACCATACATATGTATATATATATACACATACATACATTACATTACATTACATTACATTACATTACATTACATTACATACATATATATATATATATGTACATGTGTATATATTGTATACATATATATATATATGTATGTATGTAATGTAATGTAATGTAATGTAATGTAATGTAATGTAATGTAATGTAATGTAATGTAATGTAATGTAATGTATGTATGTATGTTATGTTATGTTATGTTATGTTATGTTATGTTATGTTATGTTATGTATGTATGTATGTATGTATGTATGTATGTGATGTAAATCCCCATAGAATTTGCCATGATTGAGATTACTAAATAGGATTAACATGCGATGAACTTGGCTAGGACTGGAACCCGCACGTGGATCATCAAGCCATTGACCGAGCACATCGCATTGGTCAACAGCGAAAGGCGCGTGGCAGGGTGCGGTGAGATTGAAATCACGCGCGACAGCTACACATTCAGGGTACATAAGGAACATTTTAAGGTGTTTTTCTCCCACAAAATGTATTTAAGACCAATCGTCCAATGATTGGAATATCATTCTGCGGTGGATTTGACTATTTCAGGCTTGTTTGGAGCTCCTAAACCTTTAAAAATGCCCTTGACTCTCCAAGGAACCTGAGAGATGTATGGGATACCGCTGATTCGACACTTTCTTCGATGTTCATTGAAGACAGCTTCAGCTTTTGCGGGTTACACTCGAAAAGAGCATTTCAAAGGGATGTTCCAGTGATATTCAAGGCCTTTTTGGGCGAATACGTACATATATCATATCTGGTTGGTGGTTCTGAACATTCTTCATTTTTCCATATATTGGGAATAATAATCCCAACTGACTTTCATATTTTTCAGAGGAGTTGAAACCACCAACCAGATATATATATATATAATGTACCCATATCCTCGATATATCTGGTTGGTGGCTTCAAATTCTGCTCCGAATTTTCAACCATATTCGGGGTCACAATCCCCTGGTTGATGCCCTGGAAGTGATATGTTTGCCCGGGGGTTTTATGGCCCACCACCCAGGCATTGCGGGTCTCTACTGGATCCCCCATATCGTTTTCAGGGCGAGGACATCGGGTAGTTGATTCGCCCCCAAATATGTCTCTGGTTGGTGCTTTCAAACATGACTTTTATGTTCCATAATATATGGGATGTCATCCTTCCCATTGACTTTCATATTGTTCAAGATGGTTAAAACCACCAACCAGATATTCTTATATTGTTATACAACAGTGAAAATATATGAAAATAGTGATTATGATACTGAGCATCATACGCAAAACATTTTATTTGGAAACCATATAAGCTGATATAAAGCCGATATCCAGGAACCATCGCCGCGACATCGCGCCAGGTACACGTGCATCGCCCGGTACAGGTGCCCTGCCGATTATTATTATCATTATTAAATTATTATTGTTCATTAAATATCTAATACTAAGTTGTGATCTAAATCATGGTTGTAGATGATCATGACTATTTTGAAATATCTAATCAATCATTGGTAATAACCACATTTGGGTTTTTCTGATTTTAATGGTATTAAGTAAGATCTAAATGTTCACCATGAAAAATGGCGTGGTGAACCTTGACTACTTGGCTCAGATGTCCATGTCTCGATGGTTGAAAGAAGGATCCCCCCATTCAAAGAATCAATAGCCAAATGATGAATAATCTGCTTGGTGCTTTGGAACAGCTGCGAATCCCATATAGTCCTATACAATCCCATATAATCCCATTTAATCCCACCACATAATCCGATATCATTTGGTTGGTGCTTTCGAACATGACTAGATTATGACTTTCCATTCAGTTGGGAATGTCATCATCCCAACTGACGAACTCACTCCATCATTTTTCAGAGGGGTAGGGCTCAACCACCAACCAGTCATGGAGACGTTTCAATGGAGATTTCGACTGGGGGACACGTTATGGAACATGATCCATACCCTCTGGTAAACGTTAACAAAAAACTATAGAAAGATCCACCATTTTTCAATGGAAAATCTACTATTTCAACTGGGTCATTTTCAATAGCTATGTTAACGTTTACCAGAGGGTAAATGATAAGTTGTAACGACCTCACTGCAACTTCACTGCAGATGATGATTCATGAGGGGACTTATCCCAATTTTTTCCTTCTTTCAGCTTGGCGAATTATATGAGCGTCTATATATCAATGAAGAAGTATAGGATTATCAGATTATCATATCCCAAAGTCTATAGTAGAGTCTATAGTCTATACGGTAACGACATTTAAATATGCGGAGGACGGGCCAGACCGCCAGGCCCCGGAGGTAGTATGACATACCAGTTCGTATATTTAAATGTAGTTGCAGTATGTTTAAATGAATTGGATTCCGTATGTTTCAATGGCTGGGCGGGCCAAGGAAAACGTTCCAGAAGGTAGTCTAAAATACTTGTTCGTATATTTAAAAATCCGTATATTTAAATGTAGTTACCGTATGTATATATATATACATACATACATACATATATTCATTATTATCATAGTCTATTCTCTATAACCAGTATGGTATTTATTCCACCCTTTGATCATTTGGCAATCCACAGCTCAAGGATTCGCGCACAACTTATCGGAGTGCACTGCATGAACTTCATGAGCCGTTGGGGCCCTTGGAGCCTTCAACGTGGTTGGACTGGCTGATTTCACTGTTCGAATTCGACGACCCACCGATGGAAGCCACTGACGATGCCAAGATGCGCTCGTGCCTCAACACGGTTGCCCATAAATCCACTGGTAAATCATCATGTTCCTAGTTAGGATTGTATTTGTAGGTGTATACCCTATTTGCAAAAATTGTTGATTCTATATCCTTTCATATCAGCATCAAATATTCCATTCTACACCCATTACCCTCATTTACCAATTTGTTCTTCTCAAAAATACATGAATCTAAAAAGTTGTTGGTTATATCCAGTGAAATCACATTCAAAATCAATGTCAATCCCATCAAAATCCCATGTCAATTCCCTTTAAATCCCCATTACCATTTCTTCACTTCCACAGGGTGAAACCACCAAGTTCAATCCCATTCAGATCCAATTAGTCCCAATGTCAGTCCAGCATACATATTCGTATATATATATACACGCTCATTTACAGCATCTAGTAATATTCATAATATTAATCTAGTCGCAATATAATATATATATATCATGATATTATTTGCGCATGTCATTTGCTCCACATATGGAGTAAATAAATCCTCACTTATTCCCATGTCATCTGACCCTAGTATAGTCATAATCATCATGTGTAGAGATCACTTTCCTAGGGAAACCCTGTTTATTCCAAAAGTTGTTTTTTATGTTTACCCCAGGGTAATGATAATAATAGTCATCATCATCATCATCAGCAGCAGCAGCACCAAAAAAAAGGTAATTATATTGTAATCATTTTCATCAGAATAAACCCAAGATATCGCTATCAGGGAAGAATAACGATCGTAGTAGTCATGAGGATGATAATGATCACAAATATCACACCATCATCATCATCATCATCGTCATCATCTTCATCATCATCATCACCCGTCATTCACCCTCTTTTCACCCTTATATATATATGTGTGTCTTTCCATGAGAAGTTATTGATTCATACGGCGCCCCGCCCAGGAGTGGGGCATTGAAGAGCGCTTGGTGCGCCGAGCCACCAACAAATTGCAGATGGAGCGGAACGGTGGGAGATTCACAAAGATGGCACACTCAACATGATTTAGATATTATTCTTATTATTGTTATTATTACTATGATCATTTTTAGTATTATTGTGTTTATGTTTATTATTATTATGGTGATGCGCCATATTTTTTGTTCAACAAGTATAAAATTATAGTAAAGTAAATGACTAGATGATTTTGATTTTATATCTATCATCCAATAATCAATATTTGTTTGATATCCAATATTAGATGATATTGGATGACTTCCACCTGAGACCATCCATTTGGAACTGGAATTGCTGATGATTTGGCTTATTTTCTCCATGGGAAATCCACTTCGACTGGGGAATCTATAGGGAATATGTTGAAAAAAAATGGTGGTTCCTTAAGCAAATCCATGATAACTACAACTGGTTGGTTATAGTTTCCAAAATAATTCCAATCCTGGATGGTTATATTCCTCATCATTGCCATCATCCATTTGGAATTATTTTGGAAACTATAACCAACCAGTATTGAAGGGATGACATTTTGGGTAATGTTGTGAAAAAAAAATGTTACTACTTGCACTTGGATGTGTATGATTATGATAGCCGTTATCACGGCTGCATTTGTTCGATAATATTTTATTTCTGTTTGCTCTCCCACTGTCTCTCTCTCTCTCTCTCCCTTTTTATGACCAAAATATTATATGTGTATTTTTCTGGCTGATTGACAAGGGTCAGAAGTTGAAATAGTTACAGTTCAGCAACCTTGCTGCCCTGATTTTTGGGGTAAGTTTTAAGTTGGGGTGACAGTTTGGCACTCCACTTGGAACGTTGACTGAACATAGGTTTAACTTCATTTCATTGGTTTATTTTGTTTTCGGGAAATGTGGTCATAACAAACTAGGGTTGTTTTTGGTAGGTTGTCTAGGATTAGCCACGATATAGCGATTTGTATATATGACTATGATATACACGTGTTTGATATGTGTGGACCTGTAGCCGGCGAGAATGACGTGTTATCGAGACCTCACAACACCCATGACCTAGAAATAGTGGTGTATCTGTAGTAATTTGAACAGCATCCTGAACATGGCGCCCATTTCAGCTTTGAATTGCAGTAATTTGCCCAAGTTGGTCCCTTTCTTTCACCCCTGTTAGCTTCAAATTTGAACTGTTCCTACAACTGGGATGATTCATCATACAGTTTTCAAGCTACACATCACTAAGCTGACTCCTCCCAAGGATTTCGTAAGCAGATAAAAGGCTGATTGCCAGGAAGACAACCACAGCAACAAGTCCTATCACACCGTTGTGAGGGTCACGCTTCCCGGTCTGAACCTTCCAAGACATTCAAGAGCTACTAGGACTTCCTCAGAAGGTAGTAAGATGTAGTAACCCATCAAACACACACACAGTTAAGCATGCTGTTTTAATGTTGCCCCAACCCCAAGCAAAAGTCACCACTCAACCATCACCGGTAGGACCCGACCCTGGATCCCTTCGTCATATGCCAAGCCTTGCTGCAGGAGAAATGCATCATCAATGCGAAGGAGTCATCCATTGGTCAACTGGTGCCCGGTGGTGCCCCAGTTGGGAATCGGTAAGTCGTTGGTGGCCAAGAACCCACCTTGTTATTCACCAACTCTGGCCACAGATTTCTTGAATTTTCAGACTGGAGATGATCGATTTACATAACATGTGGCTTTTCCATGGTTTTCCTGGGATACCCCCCGTGTTTTCCAATGGATTTTCATAAAAACACCCTTTTACAGTCGTCACTGGGTTTACCCCAAGGCCATCAACCTACCATTTTGATCCATTTTGGGATGGTTTAGACCGTTATAGTTATACTTATACCACCCATTTATGGTGATCTTGGGGAGGCTTTTTTTCAGTAGGCCGGTAAACATTTCTTAGTAAGTTTGGCTGGCAGCTATTCCAAGAAATGATCAGATTGCCATGGTTGCCACTTGCTGAAAGTTGAAATGCTAGTGATGACGGTTGGAACAGAACGCCCCGCACTGACCAGTGGATACCGCAGAACTTGGCCTGGTGGAATGGATCCAAGAAATGGGTCCCATTTGTTGGATATGTGAGCTATGGTCAATACTCATGGTTAATGACCATTAAAAACGGGGCTAGTCATCCAATGGTTCATAGGGATTTATAATAACCATTATAAGGATCCTTATTATGGATGGGATGACCATCAACCATATAGTGAGTATTGACCATGGCTCATGTGATGAATATGATTTGGGGATGAGATCATCAATGGGATCAAGAAATACTCCGGAGTACCAGGCAGCAGCTGAAAAATCATGTTTGATCCCCGAAATGATTGGGTTTCTCGAAGGAGTGAAAAGTCACTCTCCAAAAACTGGGAGAAAACACCTTCCAAACACGGCAAACCTTCTTGGCCCCAGGTGAATCAGCAAGACGAAACCATTTTCTCCCCATGGGAATGATATCTCAATGGATAAAATCACCATGTAAAAAATAGGAAAATCAACTATAAAGTTGGACGATTTTCAATAGAAAGCTTATCTTCATCATTCGTGATTTTATCTTATCCCCATGATTAAGTTTATTATCTTAAATTAGATACTTACCCTCTAGTAATTTAACATAGCTATTGAAAATGGTCCTTTTGTAGTTGATTTTCCTATTAAACATTGTGATTTTCCATAGCTTTTTGTATGTTTACCAGAGGGTAAAACGTTTCCCGTGATTATCTTAAATTAATTTAAATTAGTTACTGAATCATTATCTGATCACCATTATACATCTTAAATTAGATAGTTAGTTAATTCATATATATAGTGATATCATTGGATATTTTGTTTATCATCGGGATGGTATATAGTCATATGAATTTATCATATCATTGGTTACCCTCTGGTAATTTAACATAACTATGGAAAATCACCATTTTTCATGGGTAAATCCACTATTTCTATGGCCATTTTCAATAGCTATTTTGACATAACCAGAGGGTAATCATACCATCTTCCAATGATCTCATGATTTTGCACGTGGCGCAGGAGGAGGACGAAGAGGAGTTGCTGGCGGAGTCCGAAGATACCTTGACTTCTGAGGAGGCGGTCGCTGGAAAAGGCATCGAAGGTCAATGAGGAATCTTCCAGCAGAGTTACCCTCTGGTAAACTAACAAAAAGCTATGGAAAATCACCATGTTTGATAGATTTTAATAGGTAACTCAACTATAAATGGGTCATTTTCCATAGCTATGTTACTTTAGCAAAGGGTAAGGTATTTTTCTAAAAAAAGAAACCCAGGACTTTTGATTTAGAGATGTAGTTCAGATGAATTTAAGAAGCAAACAAACACATGTAAAGTGAGTTTTCAACGTGAGGATCAATGAAACAAATTATATGATTAAGTAGTCCGGAAACGCACACCATTTTTAAAGCCCTATTTCAGGCCCCACGAAGTGGTATGATTCAGCCATATTCAACCAGAGAGGTTGAGGATTTATATACTTTGAATTTGGATTTAGTATAATTCAGCAGAAATTGGTATGTTCTAGCTGACGGGAAAAGAGACCATGTATGTTTTGATGGAGCTGGATGAAGGGTCGGTTGATTATCTAACATGAAACAAGGGTTGCATCACGGAAAAAAATGAATGTAGCAAGGAATAACAGGCAAGTATATGGGTAAGCCTTTTTGAAGGGTAGTTTAATTCTGTATAAGTGGGGCAGTGCAATTCCCCGCACGGTACTTTCTCATATTCGGTGTCTTCATAAAGCCTCCAAGAAGGGTATTCACGGTATTTTGGTATACCCGATTTTCGGTGAAGTCGAAATGTGGGTATGACAGATGAGGTTCAAATTGTTAGTATTCATCATCATTCATCCTGACTTTCAAAGAGGGGTGATCCGGTCCCCCTTCGCCGAATTGCCTTGCGCTTGGGCAAAACCACATGGATCCACGGGGTCTGTTAGGGATTATATAGTTGACTTTTAAGTGGGATCAGATCATGTTATAACCTACTTGCCAAGTAGGATCACCAAGTCCTACACCTTGTGCTGACATGACTATTAACCCATTGAAATAGTCCCCTTTTCCAGACAATTAACCCATTGAACATGTGGGGAATTTTGGGAATGTCCCACTGCCAAGTTAGATTACCGGTAGATCCATCGCCCCGGGACAAGGACATGTGGTCGTCACTAAAGGTCCTGGGGGAGTACCGTTTTAGTAGCAGATGACATATTTTTTTTATCAAACAGGGTTTACTAATCCGGGCATCAGTAAAGTGGGTAAGCCCAATAGAATCGACCATCCACGATTCATCAGTGTTTAAACCCTCTGTCATTTCATCAGATACTGGTCGGGTATGGACAGAAGTTGATGGATTAGTAGTGCTTTGCGCAGGTCTCCTCTGTTTCCGTTTCCCTCGCACCTTGCAAAGTTTCCGTTTCCCTCGCACCTTGCAACTTTTCCTTCTCGGGGTTGTGCTCGGCTTGAGTTAGAAAAAGCAGCTACAGAAAATCGGCAAATGTGAAATCTGCAGCAAGTCAAAATGCCTGACAGGTATGGTCAAAATGGAATGCATTCTGCACTCCTCCCTTGGGATATCGTGAGGTCATCCCAAGATTCAGGCTCAAGCTGCTTCTATTGTGCAAATAAAAGGAAAAGATCTAACCTGCGCTCTCACCACATCCTTGGCATGCTGGAAACATCTTTTCTGGATCGCAGCGTGGGCATCTTGAATCCACATGATAATCTCCACCCCAGTGATCAATCCAAAGTGGAACTCCTGGTGGTGGGGGTCCACGCGTTTGAGCGGTAATGGCCCAGCAAATGCGACACCAGGCAGATTCTCGATTGGCTCCTGTCTGGACAGACGACAGGTACCTGCACTGGCTCTGATAGTGATAAACTCGGCCATACCGAGTGGTCAAAACTTGGAAAGCTGCTCTAGCTCTTTCCTCGCTGTTCTCATAGTTCTGGAATCTTTCTGGATTTCTCTGTGCTTCCTCGTAGAGGTTGGTTTCTTCATCTGCTATCTCCTGCATGACTCGATCCAAGTCGAACCCAGGGATGTGGCGCTCATCTAATGGACGATACGGAGTGTCCTCTGATGAAGAGGTTGAATCTTCAAGTGGCGAAGAAGACCCTTCGCCTGGTGGGAGGTACGTGGGTCGCTGCGGCGTGTGATCTGCCACAGCGGCCATCCCTTCACCACCCGGTGGGAGGTACGTGGGTCGCTGTGACAGTTGTCCTGCCACAGCGGCCATCCCTTCACCACCATTTTCCTTTTCTTCTTCTTCTCTTTGAGCAGCAGCACCTGCAGGGAGACTTCGGGAAGACGATCCAGCTTGGTTTGACCAAGACATTTCCAGCCTCCTTACTCCTACCTTCCACAAATGCTGGCTCACGATCGTGAGAAGCACGATGATCAACGCAAAAACGACCATCATGACTTTGAGCTCGAGGGTTGAATTTTCCTGATCTTCTTTTTCTGTTTCTTCATGTTCTCCTTTGGCAGCTGAGATCGCAGCAGCCAATGTGAGCAGCTTCAATGCTGCTGCTGCTTTCTGAATGCCTACGCCTTCTCCTTTTTCTTCAAAAACCTTCTCTTCTTTCTTCTCATGCTCTTTCGGTTGTGGTACTTGAACCAGGTTCATCTCCTTCTTCAAGTACCTGATTCTTTCTGAAGCTAATGGTTTGGTGCCAATGTCAGCGATCATTTGATTTCCTGCGACATGTTGAAGAAACCAGGTGCCCTGCAAGATTGAACTCCTGGCAGCTGATGCTCTCAGTCGCAAATGACGTGTGCGCCATGATCCTCCGTCAGTGGTCAAAATTGATTGGGCAGACTGAGAATCTGTCCAAGATTTTCGCTGCAGAGGGCCAAACAGCTCATCAGCTATGGCACCAATTGATTCTCCAGCCACCATGCTCTCCACAATCTCCATCATCTCAGCTTCTGCTGTGCTGAGCGTCACAAAACTTTGACGACCACTTCGCCAAAAAACAGGGCAAGAAGCTACCATGATGATGAAGGCTCCGTGGCTGACGTCTCCTTCAGGTGCAAAACTGGCATCTGACATGGCCTCAATCATCAAGGTCTCTGCTCCAGCAGCATCAAAGCAGATGCCTTCATCCATAGTACTTTTGAGATACCCCTTGATCTGCTGGTAGATCTGGAGGACCTTCTGAGGGGCCTTCGTGACGCAAGAGCCCATCTTTGAAACAGCATACATGAGGTCCAAGCGGGTGCGCGTCACCAGCCAGAGCATTTCACCTGTGGCTTTCTGAGCTGAACGAATCAGCTCTGGTGTTCTTCCTTCTTCCTCTGGAAGTTGACTCTGATCTTTTGTGATTGGGATCTTTCTGTCTGGAGCTTCTTGATCTTGCGCAAGAAGGTCCTTGATGTAGGACTGTTGGTTGACATACCAAACGTCGCGGTTCTTGGTGACATCAAAAGTCTTTGAGATCTCGACGCCTAGAAATCGTATAGGCTTTTCTCCTACTTGATCTGGTTCTGAGGTGGTCCAGATAGTTCTGATCTTTTCCATGACGGCATCTACCACCTTTCGACTTCCAGTGACCAAGATGTCATCGACATATGTCATCAAGAGCCCTTTCAATGGCAGCGGAGCAAAGTTCGACTGAGTGTCAGACTCAGCTTCACTCTCCTCAGCTTCAATCCTCCACAAGTTTGGCTCTGATGCCAAAGGGCAGAGTCGGAGTGATGTCATCTGACCTTCTTCCTCCTCCACTTCCAGTTTCATGACTTCCAATTCATCATCTCTGCAATCACCCCAGAGCTTTGGTGATCGGCGAAGTCCATAGACCGCGCGCTTGGGCATGTAGTATGTTCCTGGCTTCATGTACTTCTTTTCCAAAAGCAGCATAGGAGGTTTGACCAGCAACAAGCTTGGCTGGTCTTCAGGGCACATGGTGGCATTCAGGAAGGCTGTTTTGATGTCAATGGTCCCAGCCTCCCATTGGAATTTTGATGCCGCAACGATCAGAAGGCGCAGTGCAGAGGCATCTGCACCAGAGCTAAACGTGTTCTCTCCCTCTTTGACCTGCTCGAAGTTTCCACAGATGACCCATCGAATCTTGTTGCGGCCACCTCTTTTTCCTGGCTTCTTTGTGCAGACCAACTTTGATGGGAGAAACTCCACTGGTATGCCCCTTTTTTCTGCATCCTTCAAGAGCTCCTCCAACTTTTCTCCACTCACCTCCTCGAAGGCTTCCTTCTCTTCTAACAGTGACGTGACTTCAGCATCCACTGCCGGAAGCCAATCATTCCAGTTCTTTGAGACCTCAAGAAGGGAGATGATTTTCGTTTGGAGGACTTCATCATCTTCGCCCTTCTCATGAGAGTCAAGCATCTTTTTGAGCTTGGCCAAGATGTCAATCTCTTCTGTGATCATTTCAGGAGAATCATCCAACATCGCCTTAGTCTCCTCCTCGACCATTCTTGTAAACCTGTTCCTCATCTTTGCCAATCTCACAGCCTCATCCTCACCTTCTTCTTTCTCCTCCATTTTCAACCTACGCACTGTAGTCTTTTCTCGAAGCCTTCGTCTTTTTGTGAGAGCATCCAAGACCTCCCTTTCGATGGCTAGCCACACTCCTTCTTCAGGTCGTTCTATGGCTTTCTGCATGTAGCATCGAGTGACTCTCGGTGCTTCATCGTTCACCTTGATCCAATGGCCATTGTCCTCGGGTGCAGGTCCGAGGTATCTTGCAACTTCCACCATAGGCTCAAACGCCTGTTTCTTCCACCTCCTCCTCCTCACCAAGACTTCTTGAAGAAAGCGGGGGAACTCTGGCTTCTTATCCAGCCTTTGGCACCTGTAGATCTCGTTCAGGTATCGAAGTGCCCAAGGCCACCATGAAGAGTCTACTCCTGCATGAAGTAGAATCCTTCTCAGCTGGTTTTTCACTGACTTGACCGTAACCTCAGCACGGCCGTTGGCCTTTGGATCATCGCCCGATGTTCTTGTCAAAAGAATGCCTCGAGACCTCATCCATGTTTCAAATGACCCAAGGAATTCGTGGCCTCTGTCGCTGTGGATACGATTCACATGATATCCATCAATCTTCAGTTTGAGAACCATCTCCATCGCTACTCTTGTGACTTCCCTCGCCTTCTTGGACCTCAGAGGGAGCGCCATCTTGAAGACTCTGATCTCATAGTCTTCATCTTCGCTTTGGGGACCATCTTCTGCTTCTTGTTGACCATCTTGATCTTCATCTCCTTTTTCTTTCTCTTCTTCTCCTCCTGAATCTTCAAGACGGGACTCCTCAGGAAGTTCTGCACCTCTTGGCAAGAGGCCATCAGGAGGCTGTTCATCAGCTTCCTGATCATCACCTTCAGGCTCCTCGGCAAAAAGATCAAGCACTGGTGCCTCTTCAAGACCGCCTTCTTCTTCGGGTTGACCTATCATCTTTTCTGTGCCCTTTGGAACCATGTATGTGTAAGCACCAGCCAAAAAATATCGACACTTCCAGCCACCAACATCGCTTGATGGTAAAAGAGGCCCACATGTGTCAAGAGCAAGAACTCCTGTTTGTGGATGTTTGTTTCGTCGATGAGGAAGGATCTGTTGGGAGGATTGCAGGCAAACAGGACAGTCACGGCGATATGGAACATGACCAAAAGCAACATGCTCTTCATATGTGAGAGCCCTGAGTTGTGGTGTCCCCTTGAATACCTGAGTTATGACCGCTTCGCTCACAGCGTTCATCAGTCCAGGTGCCCATCTTTCCAACTGTTTTGAGCTTTCCACAGGTTGCGCAGGTAAAAGAGGACCCATCTTGTGATCCTCCAAGCACAAATCAAACGTAGTGCCCAAAGTGGTGGGTTTTGTTGCCATACCTCCAAGACATCCCTGATTGAAAGTGACCTCCTTCAACTGAAACTCCTTTCTCAAATCATGCCACTCAGTGGTGTCCCAAAACGACACAGCTGCAGGTTGATAAGTCTTTGGAGATGCAGGTTGCTCCAAAGCAAAGTGAACAGGGTCTGGTCGCAACTGTGCCTTGCGGACATACTCTGAAATCATGTACAAGAAAATCATTCGCCAAAGAAGAGTGTCATCTTCTTGAATCATCTTTTCTTCTTTCTTGTTGATCCAGTGTGCTCCAAATTCCCCTCCCTCCCAGCAACGCACTGGACGGGGGGCCCATGGTTGGCCTTCAATTGGTCGATGTCGGAGCACACTTCGACTTCTGCAGTTCGGGCCACCCAAGACAGCCAGAATCTTTCCTGAAAGCGCAGCTCGCAAGAGAGTGGCATAGATCCCTTCGTCAGCAAGCATGTCATACGCTTGCCCCTTCTTCACATCCACTTCCAAAAGCCTCCTTGTCTTACTGCCTTGACACCTCATAGATCGCTGAAGTGTGTGACCTGAGTCCTCTCCAGAGTACAAGTGCAGTGCAAATCCCTCAGTTTTCAACGTTCGTCGCTGACGTCGATTCAAAGGCAAAGATTCCCATTCTCCCGGCTGGACCACAAGCTTCTTTTGGAGCCAGTCAGGAAGACGGGACAAAACTGGGTGAGCTTGTAGAAGCCTTCTCATCCATCCAAGCTCTTCTTCTATGTCTAGGCGATTCAATGAGACGCCTTTGTTGCAGTCTTCGATCTCAGAGATTAGCTCCAATGCCAACTTCCTTGGAATCTGTGGACAACCTCCACAGTCTTCAACTGGTAAAAGACCTCGGATTGGATGTTGGACTTGAAGAGCTCCCTTCGACCACGACACCACACAGCCTAGGGCATCGATCAAAGAACCCATAGGCACAATCGGCTCAATGTTCTGGTCTGAGGTGATCATGGAGCCACCTGGGGACATGTGCAACTGAATGGACTTGCCATCTGCCAAAGTGACAGAAACTTCTTTCAACTTGTGGGTGTCCTCTTCTTCTCTTGATGGACGCAACGCATGAGTGGCCCCACTGTCAATGAGACCTCGACCCAGACCAGCGCCAATGCGCCCAAGCTTGAAGACCTTCAGGGAATTGAGCTGAGCCTGAAGGCGTGACAGCATTTCACTTCGGCTGTCTTCATCTCTGTTCGATGCCGAAGAGGAATTGGGAGATGAAGTCGAGTGAGATGTGAGTGATCTGAGCATCTTGTTGGCTTCTTCAATCAGCCCCTTCATCGTCTCAGACTCTTCCTTTGTCTCCTCACCTGTCTTTACTTCACCTGTCTTCACTCCTTCTTCAACTTTTGCGCCCTTCTGCTTCGGAGGCGATCCCTCACATGTTCCCTTTCGTGGACATGCAGGAGCCAAGTGTTCTTCCGCACCACAGACGTAGCATCGCCTTTTTCCGTCTTTTTCAGTGTGAGAGAACTTGCAATCACGGCCCTTTCTGCAGCCTTCTGGAGTCAGGTAGAACTTGCACTTGACAACCTTCTGACGTTCTCCTCTATCTTCTTCTGCTGTCTTCTCTCTACCTTTCCCTTTTCCTTTCGTATCCTCCTTCTCATATTCCATCATCTTCACTTTCGGTTCAACCTTGGCGTTGTTGGGGACGGTCTTCTTCTCCATTTGCGACAACTGCTCGCACTCAGAGAGGAGGTGCATTGCAAACTGCGTCACACTCTCCAAGGTCGGCACCGTATCTATGCCTAACCCATGACGTGCAAGCGACACTCGAAATTGTAGTTCTCGATTTGTTTCCAAAACCTTCTTTGTCATCCTCAAAAGCCCACGAACAAGAAGAGCAGGATCAGGCGTGATTGCTCCGATTTCGGTGGCCCTCTGACGCCACCTGATCCACTTTCTCAAAGCCATTGGAGCATCTCCCAATGTTTGGACTTCCGCAGGATCCTCAAGGTTTTTCAGGAGGTTCTGTTTTTCGGAGATACCACCTGGACAGTAGATCACATAGAGGTGTGTGATGATGGAGAACACACTCATCCTTCTGGTGGACACAAGCTCTTCACGAACTTGTTCAGGCATCGCTTGAAGCATCATCGTGGACATGCGTCGCTCCAATCGCTGCCATTTTTCCTGTGTCAAAGAAGGTGGAGTTCCATGTCCATGTTGGAGACGTTCAAGGGGTGACATCTTCATATGAGACTGATACCAACCCTCGGCCTCTTTGAGAAGGGTCTTCCACCAGGTTTCAGCAGTTGCAGTCAAATCTGAAACCACCGGTTCGATGAGCAGCAGCCAATCGCTCAATTGAAGTGGCGATTGATTCGACGACCAAGCAGGCAAAGGAGGTAATTCTTGAGCACCAGATCGAACTACTTCAATCCCTCTGATTGATCCTCCTTCTTCTCGGTCTTCTTGATACTTGCGCTGCAGCTCTTTCATATTTTCCATCATCAGACACATAAACTCAAGTGACTTTTCTGTGAATCCAGCAGCTCCTGTCTCGGCTGATGGACGTTCTCCTCCTGGTTGTTGTGCTTCGCCAGACATTCCTTCAGGGGGTCTAGCGGCCTCCTTTGGTGCACTTGCTGGGGGTCTTGCAGCCTCCTTCTGAACACTTTCTGGGGGTCTTGCAGCCTCCTTCTGAACGCTTTCTGGGGGTCTTGCAGCCTCCTTCTGAACGCTTTCTGGGGGTCTTGCAGCCTCCTTCAGAACGCTTTCTGGGGGTCTTGCAGCCTCCTTTGAACCATCACTTCCATTTGGCGCGGAAAAGGACAAATCAACTTCGGGAACAGCAAACCCTGTTTCCAACGCATGAATCCTGTGTTTCAATTCCTCATTCTGATTTATCAATTCCCTCATATATGCCCTCATGGTGGACATCTCATGAGATTCAGCCGACATTCTGGCTTCTTCGGCTTCCAAAAACGAAGGTCTCCTAAAAGCTGGAAAAAAGGACCGAGCTGGTTGATCTCCGTACAACCATGGTGTCCTACTCTGCAGCATGACCATGTCTCTAACTTGCTCTTCGGTGAACAAAGGTGTGTGCATGACATCCGGAGTGGCTGATCCCTGATTTGGAACCCCGGCTGAGTTTTGATGCGGGGTCATCTCCTCCACTTTCTTGTTCATGTCAACTACTCCAGGTGTCATTGCCATCGCGGTAAGACCAGCAGAAGACTTCTCACTTCGTTCTTTCTGAGGATTCGCGCTCCTAGGCTGAGCAGCGAGAGAGGATGCTGACTCACTTCGTTCTTTCTGAGGATTCGCGCTCCTAGGCTGAGCAGCGAGAGAGGATGCTGACTCACTTCGTTCTTTCTGAGGATTCGCGCTCCTAGGCTGAGCAGCGAGAGAGGATGCTGACCCTGGCTCGGCGGGTGTGATGGCGGCAGGGGAAGTTCGTGGTGGCAAAGGACTGGTCTTACCTTCCTCATCTCTTTCTTTTGTTGGGAGACTTTTTGGGGCACCTTCCAGCTTCACCTTCTCTACTTCCTCTACCTTTCCATCACCTTGAACATCTTCTAAGGGCAGTTCACCTCCTTCATTCGCCTCTTTCTCAAACCTTTCTTGTGCTAACCTCATCTCTTCTTGACCTTGTTGCATCTCTTTCGGAGTCGCTTTTCTTCTCATCTGAACTTGCATGGTTCGCCCTTGGGCTCATAACCTGCTTTGCGCAGGTCTCCTCTGTTTCCGTTTCCCTCGCACCTTGCAAAGTTTCCGTTTCCCTCGCACCTTGCAACTTTTCCTTCTCGGGGTTGTGCTCGGCTTGAGTTAGAAAAAGCAGCTACAGAAAATCGGCAAATGTGAAATCTGCAGCAAGTCAAAATGCCTGACAGGTATGGTCAAAATGGAATGCATTCTGCAAGTAGAATCCCCAATATGTAGTCAGTGTAGTAGTAAATCCTCCAAACTAATGATCAACCAACACTCATTTATCCTATGTTCAATAGATTTCAAGAGTTAATAACCAGAATTACCCCAGATGACTATGGTAAATACAGGGCTTTATCCAGAAATGGATCGTAGAAACTCTCGGATTCCGGTCAGATCTTGAATCTCTTGAAGCACGGTGCCAGCGCCTTCAAGGCCGAAATTGCCAGGATAGATCTTCGGCCGGGAACATTTTCCTAGGGAAAACTTGCTATTTTGCTGGGCACTTGGATACTCCAAGAATTGATTCCCCACCTGCCAGGTGAGGGTTGTTAGATTTTATCTAAGTTGCCTCCTCCTCCTCCTCCTCCTCCTCTCCTCCTCCTCTCGTCGTCCTCCTCCTCTCGTTGTCCTCCTCCTCTCGTTGTCCTCCTCGTCTCGTTGTCCTCCTCGTCCTCCTGCTCAACTGCGACTCGCGATCCACAGTGTTCGCTGTCGGACCTCAACCACGACCATCCACGCCCAGTGTTCCCTGCCGGACCTCAACCACGACCATCCACGCCAGTGTTCCCTGCCGGACCTCAACCACGACCATCCACGCCCAGTGTTCCCTGCCGGACCTCAACCACGACCATCCCCGCCCAGTGTTCCCTGCCGGACCTCAACCACGACCATCCACGCCCAGTGTTCCCTGCCGGACCTCAACCGCGAGTATCCACGCCAAAAGATATGCCACATAGAGTGCCAGAAGATATGCCAGATAGAATGTTAGAAGATATGCCAGATAGAATGTCAACTAGAATGCCAGAAGATATGCCAGAAGATATGCCAGATAAAGTGCCAGAATGTTTGCCAGATAGAATGCCAGCAGATTTGCCAGAACATATGCCAGAAGATATGCCAGAACATCTGCCAGAAGATATGCCAGAACATCTGCCAGAAGATATGCCAGGTAGAATGCCAGAAGATATGCCAGATAGAATGCCAGATCGAATGCCAGAAAATATGTCAGATAGAATGCCAGAAGATTTGCCAGTAACAAAATGTATAAATGTCATGGTGGGGATCACACGAAGTAAAGTAATTTTGATGATGTTTTTTGGAGGGAAACCTTGGATAGTTCAATGAATGTTATCTTGTGTTTCAAGTTGGGCCTAAGAAACGGACAAAAATATGCAGGGTACCTAAGGCTGGCCACGTGTTGCTTCATCAGAATTGCCACAAATTACTTGCAACTTTGGTGTAGGATGGTACTAGGCGGCCATCACTGCTGGGTAAACCGACTGCTACTTTCATATTTGAATGTGTTGCCACCAATTGGGAATGTACATAGATAAGAAAGTATACTCATTAATTACACACTTTCCAGCTACGACTGTTTTGTTTTTTTGCAGGGTATAATAGCGTATCTAAGATTTCAAAATGATGAGTTGCAAGCCCGTGCCATGGTCAAGACTTTGATGAGATTAACTTCGATTAGTTGGGGGCATAGCATCATGGACAACGGGAATAGCATCATTGCATTGGCGAGGACAGTTCATAGCGATTCACATTCATGATGGTTGGATGACCATACCACATGTTCTTCTGTCCATGACGCAAATTTATATGGAGGGTAAACAATAAAAAAAAAAACGCACCCAATTTATATTGGTTCTTGATTTGATTGGCATTTTTCCATATGTTTCCTGGTTGTTGCCATTGTCAATTGCGCCCTGGGGACCAGCATTTCCTCAATGTTTTTGGGCTACGGGTGTTGTTCACCACTTATGGCTCGCTAAGTTGGTAAGCCTTGGCTGTTTTCTTTAAATACCCGGCCTGGTAAACATACAAAAAGCTATTGAACATGGCCATTGAAATAGTGGATTTAGCCATTAAAAATGGGTGGATTTTCTATAGTTTTGTGTATGTTTACCAGAGGGTAACTTTGTATGTGCTATACTGTCAAGTTGTTTGTCATGGATTGGGTAGTGTTTACCCACTGCCCACCGGCTCAAAATAATGGTTTGTTTTTGCCTGGTATCCCAAGATTGAACATATTGAGCCATTGAAAATACCCAACTGAGCAGTGCAAATATACCTTTGTTTATTGATTTGTATGTGAATGATCTTAAAATTGACGACGATGGACACTGGCATCAGCATTTTCTTGGACCATCATGAGTGATAATGACATCAGTATAGTCATACGTACCACAATCCCCAACAGTTACCCTCCAGTAAACTAACAGTTTGCTATGGAAGCCATGGCTCATAGAAATAGATGATTCTCGCAGCTATAAACCTCCTATGGAGGATGTCCAAAGGCCATATGGCCAACTGTTAAGGGAGGAACATGATGACGGACCACTGGATTGCCAAATTTGGGACCCATCCATTTTTTTCACATGTTCTTGGCTGAGTCAAGTTGTGTTGCTCAATTTCGGAGTACCGAAGGACACATGGTCTTGTTGACCCATTGATCATTGGCTGGGGGTGCAGGCAAGGGGTTATTTTTCATCAATATGTATATATATATGTACTATATATATATATAGTATATATATATATACTATATATATACACTATATATATATACTATATATATACTATATATATACTATATATATACTATATATATAGTATATATATATACTGTATATATATATACTATATATATACACTATATATATACTATATGACTATATATATATACTATATATATATACTATATACATATACTATATATATATACTATATATATATAACTAGGGGATTTTGAGTTCCATAGTTGGGATATGGCGCCCCCCAGGAGAATTTGTGGAACCCCCAAGTACCCAGATTGACGATGTGCTCAACTGTCGAAGGCCTTCAAGGGAGAGAACACGGAAGCCTATACGCTGCAGGCCCAAGGGACGCATCCCAAATGTGGTTTGTGATTGGGGGAATGATTAATTGGGGGCATCACAGACGATGATAGACTATAGAAATCTATAGAATGATTATGGTGGTGCAATGGTGCAATCCCTTCCCCAGAAAAAAACACATAAGATGGATTCTTGATGATTATTGACGGGTATATTCCTGCTTCAAGCTTTTGTATTTTTTGTGGCCAGCATTAACCGGCGTGATCAGCCAATGTTTCGAACAAGATTTGACTGTGGAGGCAGTTTCAGCGACCCGCTGACACGGATCCTGATTTTGCTTGATCGATGTGTATGTACTAATATTGTAATCCCGAAAAAGCGAAGCAATTAAAATCCTTATGTGGCTTTTCTATCAATCTATCTGTCTGGGGTTACCATATACTCATTCTCTTGGGGCTTACTATCCGAATTCCTCAGGGTGTGGAAATGGGGTATACCATGGAATAGCCCCAAATAGCCATGAATCATAGGGAAAATATATGAACATATGGGAAAATGATATGATGAACCTTTGGGCTTAGGGGTACACTGGTTCTTCATGTGGCTGTCTCCTAAAGATGCGGAAGTAGCCGGATATCCTAAACCATGCCTTTTGACAGGCTAGAATGGTCTAGTTGAAGGATGACTTTGGTGCACCAAAAACTCTTAGGAAACACCCACAGGCAACATTTTCCAGGAAAGGTTTGTTGTTTCCCACTCAATCAGCGGTTTGACGGGAACATGATGATACAGCAAACCACGTAAAGACAGGAAAGTCGTATCATATCTACATATAATCATTATCACGCCGAATTGTTAATCTCGTCTCAGAAATATTCAACACCACCTAAATGGTCCCAAACATATGTGTTTCCATCCCCCACTAAACCATATGGTTTCTACCTTTTTTTCCAATAGGATCGGGCCATGGGATCAATTCCCCATGAAAATATCTCATGGAATGACCGTGTTTGACGGGGTTCAGCAGACGGTAATCCCATAAACATCATAAACCATGGGCCTTACTACCTTCCCATAGTCCCAGATATCCTCATTATGATCCCATCTATTTGTTCATTGTTAATGATTAACAAAAATCAAATTAAAACTCATTTAAAACCATCAAAAATCATGTACAAAAAACACTGGTTTTCATTGTTTCATGACATTTCATGACAGAAATCCTATAAAAGCACCATGGTCTATAAAAATCCTATAAAATTCAACTAAAAATCCTATAGAATCCTATAAAAACACTGGTCTTCATGAGATCCCTCCAGTTGGCTTTACCAAAAACCATGGGATGCGACGCTGGTCTTCAGGAGCTCTTGGATCGAGAGCGCCAGCCGGTGCCCACGCAGGCGATGACCAGGGGTGACGGGCGACGCTGGCCAAGGAGATATGGATGTTTTTATGGGATTTTATAGTGATTCTATAGTCATTTATAGTCATAAAATGGGATGAATCACTATAAAATCACTATTTTATTGGATTTTATAATGCATTTATAGTCATTCAATGCGAATGATAATAGTGATTTTATAGTGAATCAATGGGATTTTATAGTGATTTGATAGTGATTTGATGGGATTTTATGGTGACTTAGTGGGATATAAATGGGGCAGCCATGGAGGTTTTTTCATATTGTTTTTCAAATCACCCCCAGCCATGGTAGGTTTAGTCGGCAGTGGGTTACCCTCTGGAGAAAATCCATAGGAATGGGGGGGGCGCCTTCTGGGAAAGAACACAAGTTTGCGATGGAAAAAACAATTGTTAATAAATAGGTGAATGTTCTATAAATGCCGTTTTTGAAATATAACCTAAAATGGTATGAAATATAGGTTTCCTACAGTTTTCTCAGGGTAAATTCCCTATCTCCTGTATCCACGTTTTGCCCCATTTGTTGCATATATCCCACGGTATTCCCAGAAGTTGTTTCGTGTTACTAGTAGACCTCATGTTTGTTGATGCACGGAGCCCTTTTATTTGGTGATAAAAGATTGTTTCCTGTAGATTTTCCCTTAATCAAACCGCTAATCTTGGTTAATACATGTTAATACCCATTATACCATCATTATATCATATTATATCACTGTTTTGGTTGGTTAGCTAGCATTTTTTTGTAGATGTTCCCTTTCAATCAATTCATTGATTCAGCAAGTGCCAGGGGCCGGAGGCCGTTTCGTCTTCCAGCGAGGAGCGTCAGGAGGCGCCCCAAAAACACGTGGGGTATCCCCAAATCAATTGTTTAAAATTCCATAGATAGTTGGGATATATCAATGGAATAACCAATATATTAATGGATTGGTTTTTCTTGATATCCCAAGTATCGAAGTATCTATGGATGTATTATGATATATTGGGGATAAGCAATTATGGTTATAACATGTTATAGCCAATATATCAATGGATTGGTTGAGTCGGGAAAAAATACAGGAAAATCCCAAATATTTCATGGGAAAATACCTATGGTTTCCGGTTAAGATTTTCGCTTAAACCAATCCATTGAATATACCCTCTGGTTATTTAACATAGCCATGGAAAATGGCCCATTTATAGATGATTTTCCCAGCTAGATACCTCCAAATATTTTGGGGATTTTCCATGGCTATGTTAGTCATAACTAGATGGTGTATATATATATATTGTTATAACCAATGGGATATAGTTGGGATGTTTGGGAGATATACATTGCTTATATAGCTAGTTGGATTTTTGTGCTTGAGATATATCTGGGTAAATTTGATCACGACCTCACTGTTCTCCCTCACTGGAAATCATAGTTAGTAAGGGGAATCATCCCAAAATGGCCGCAAGATTCAGGTTAGTGAAATATTATAATTTACCCAGATATATGATATATGTATTGGTTATGACTATCCAACTATCTCAAACAAGAAAATAGATAGCCATCATTTTCCATGTTTTCCATGAAATTGCCATGACTGAATTTATACCCCGTTTTCAGACACACCCATATGATTGTTTAGTAGTTCCCAACTGGGCTTATGGGGTTTCTATTATGACCATGGTTATTAAAGGTTATCCCAGATATGACATGATATGACAATGGGTTTGTAACATTTTATAACCTCAGTGGGGTTATCCCATACATATATATATATATACATATATATATACACATAATATGTATTATGTGTATATTTAAAAAGACGGGTGAAGTAACCATGGTTAGGTTTTTGCAGTTACGGTTCCCCTGTGAGGTTCCGCTCGTTCCTCGCGCAGAGCGTCCGCGCGCCCGCCCGGCGGATGTGCTGGGGTCGCCCAGTGGAGACATCTGGGCATACCATGTTGCCATAGAGAAATGTTCGGCGTTGTTTTCCAAAACACGGGGATTTCGCTAAAGATTTTTGGTAGAACTTGATGGAACTTAAATATGATTTGATATGATTTGATATGATTTCTATACTGTAATATGTTTTGAACTGTTTTGACATGATTTAAGATGATGCAGGAGGATTTAGTATAGCTAAATGGTCTCAAACATCAGTTGGCTTATGTGCTCTTGTCCAGAAATGGGGCCCAATCAGTGGCTATTGAAAATTGGGAAACGAACATACATGGGCAAATCAACATACCTATGGGATACATGATCAGTGAATATTCATGGGATATACAAGCAAAAATCAAGGCACATGCTTAGGGGTTTGTTTTGAGTTTTGGGGATGAAATGAACAAAAATAGGAGAGCCAAAACCCACCAGACTGGAGATATTTTGTGGGTTTGAGATTAGGTATACAGCAAGTGAGGAAAGGCACGCCTTTGCGTAAAATCATGGAACTTCGACGCAGAGCAAGTCCCGAAAGGCGTGCCTAGTTGGAGTTCTGTCATCTGGGAAGGATAGCCCTGAGTCGAGCAAGTCTCAGCCTCACCATGGTGGTAGACGTTTGGATCGCCAACACCAGGCTTTCATCACAAAAGAGCCCGAGTTCCACCGAGATCTAGTCAAGTTGAGGGAGGGAGAGAGAGAGAGAGAGAGAGACCGATTTGTATTTTTGTTTAGGGAACATCTGCAGGAAACCGTTGTATTTGCCCTGAAACCGTTTATGATGTTCGCAGTTTCCTGCAAATTTTCCCATCATGCAATTGTTGGAGATGTTTGTACTGCTTATATGATCAACTGGTAATATATAAGATCTATTAACCACTGACAGTGCGTCAACATGTTGATGTGGCAGTGCAGTTGTGTTCGGTTGGGGCTGTAAATGGGTAGGCATCCATAAGTAGATACAAGACCTACAATTATGGTTGTAAATATATATATATATATTTATACATATTTATTATCTTTACTTTATTATATTATATTATATTTTATTTTATTATATTATATTATGCTATGCAATATATATCTCCATTTATACGGCTACAGCGGAATTGCCCCCGAGCTGAGTACTGGGAACGTTCTGCGAGACAAGCACCATGAATCTCCAAGGGGAAAACCATCATTTTCCCAGAATTTTAAGGGATAATGAACTTTTTATTTATGTGATGCATGAAAATTTTACTAGGTGTTCATAATTCTTAATTATTGATAATTTTTGATATTTTTTTGGATAAACCAATTAATTTTACTAGGTGTTCATAATTTTCGTATGTTTACCCAAGGCTAACCAAGACACAGCGATTCAACCTGCCGAGGCCGCCACCGCCTGATGTAGAAGCAGCCAGGCTGAAACCGGCTGAAACTCTGAAACTACGACGTCACCAAGTCAGCAATTTTTCTGGGATGTATGATGAAAGATGGGGGTATCATAGAATTGGATGATGGGAACATTTTAACCGGAAAGCCCTATATTTGATGGTAAAATACCTATGGTTTCCGGTTAAGATTTTCCCTTAAACCAATCCATTGAATGATGAAAGATGGGGGTATTGTGAAAGTTTTTGGGTAACCTTTGTGATACAAAAGTGGAATTGAAATGTGACTTTTTTGGGATGGAGCAATGATGGGTGACTGATGGGGCTATGATGTCACCATCCCAACATGATTTGGTTTCCATAGTTGCGACGCATAGATGTCGTCATAGTATGGTCAGGTTGCCGTTGCCATGATGGAAACCATATTCGAGTCCGGTGTTACAGCATGGGTTTGCCCAGAAATGGAATTGCTTGCAATTTCAATAGGAAAATGATGAGGAACCATGAGATGTACCTGGCAGGGCACCCTGACTTTCAGGCAGGCAAACCCATTCATAGTGAGGAACGATGTGATGAGAGGATGGGGGGGATGCATATTTTTCCAGTTGAATATGATATGCTGATATGATTTCCCCAGAACAGTTGTTTCAGAAAGTGTCATCACAGAAGGTATGTATAGTTTATATAGAACTATAAATATATATATTTATATACGTATAAACTATTATATATTGCTCATATGATCGTCTATATATATACACATACATATCTTCTCGATATCATTGCCTTACCGTTGTTTTTATCATATATTCACATGGTATATGTTCATCATAACCTGCAGTAAACTAACATCGACCCTGCCTTAGGGGATGGAAGATGAGTTTCCACTCAAAACGGTCGATCTTGGGGATCTATCCCAGAACTATCCCAATTTAACCCTACCGTAGTGGAACATCACCAGAAAAAATTAGTCGACTGGTGGATAAGAGCCAAGCCATTCATGATATTCCCAGGAATATCCCATTAAACGACCATGTTTATTACATCATATTAAATCCAACTACAAGGACCATGGTATCATTAGAAAGATATCAGTGTTATTGATTACATCAACCAACTTGGTTACATCCACTAACTTTATTGTCATAATCATAAATCATCTACAAGTATCTTATGGTTTCCATTTCGCAAACTGTTAAATGACCACAGGATATATTGTTTTTAATATCATTGAATATCTATATTAGTCTACATTATCAATCTATTATATATATATATTTCAGATATTCACATTACAGATTAAAACATATATGTATATATATAACGTGCTAAATAGATATACTATATTTTCCAGATATACTATATATGCATTTTTCAGATATTCACTTTTTCAAAGTACTATTTACTATTTCTCAGATATACTGAATATGTTACAGATATACTATATTATACTATAATGTTTTTTAATAGCTTGCCTCAAAAAAATGCAACTCATGGTGATCCGCCAGGAGTTCCTCCGGGCGCGTGATCAAAGCGCGGAAGACCTTCGCTGGGAGCCCCGATTTTTTTTTTCGGGGAGCCATGGGAAAAAATGACGGAAACACATGTTCACAGGACATTGCCTTTTGGTACTCAAACGTGGCAAGGGAAAAGCCCCCATTAAAGCCCCCATTTCTAGTTGATATTCCCCTTAAACCTCCATTTAGTTTGGAGATTTCCCAGCCATGTTGAAGTACCGGAGGGTTTCATCATTTCTATCAGATTCACCATGATCGTTCTGCTGCCTCACAGGTTTCACCTTATCGCATGTCTTGGATGGCCTTGGAAAAAAAATGAAGTCGGATTGAAATTCTAGACTGTAATCATCATCAAGACCAAATCAAGACCAGATATGTATATAGTATACAGTATATAGTATACCCCCTGGTAATTTAACTTGTTGACCCTGAAAATGACCTATTTATGGTGGAAACTAGTCTTCCAACCCCTATCTGGCAGGGTCTATGTTAATTACTGGAGGGTAACATGTGTATATAATATATATATATATAATTATATAATATATACATATATTTATTATCTCTCAATATCATGCTGTATTTATTGTTTTTACACATTCTTTATCATCCACAAACGCACGCTCGTAGTCACACGCGACACGGGAGGAGGTCCGGTACATCATGGCATTATTTAATATGCTTAAATAGCTTCTATATCAACCAAAACATATATTAAGCATATGTTATGTTACATACCTGATAGAACATGTTCAGTTTTTAGAAATATGTAAAATATGGGAAATAAACTCTGTTTTTACCCAGAAAAAAAAAAATGATTAAGACCCTTTTTTAAGGTGACCACTTTTTTCAGCCAGACCTTGCTTCGTAGGCCGAAGAGTTTCAGGAGGCACCCCTGGTGTTGAACAGGAAGCCGAAGGCTGGACCAACGGTCGTTGGAACGACCGTTGGGTGTATGACTCGCGGTAAAAATTCCCCAGAAATGTGGGGAAATGTGTTATGAATAGAGGTTGATGGCTGGGAAAAAATGGGAAAATCAAATCTAGATATGGGATGAACTTTTTATCTGAGCTTTTCTGATTTTCGTGTAGTTTGCCGGGAAAAGCACTACGAATCAGGAAATGATGTTTTTACTTTATGAGGTTCCTAAAACAAATCCAAGTTTATAACTAGATGAGTTCTATGGTCTATGGATGTTTATTGTAGATGTGTCAAGAATTAGTGGCACTTATAAAGCAACAAACATAACAAGGAAGGTCAACATTATAGGATGAGTCGCCATTGGAATTGGGAGAATTCTGGACAAAACTTACTTTAAGGTTAGGAATTACCATGAATTACCTACATGGAACTACTCAATAAAACCTGCGTATGGTTTATTTAGCCCACAATTACCATGTTTTGACTTATATCGATGGTGGCAAATATCTTCCATTTCTACCATAATCCATAGTTAGCCGGAATGGTTTTGTATGATCTATATCAGTATATAATGTGGAGCTCCATGCCAGCATAGTCAGCTAATTTGGCAAATCACTTTGTGATTTCTGTGGTTCTAAGTTGGTAGATATCGATATATCTACCAATGGGAATTTCATGACCCTAAAATGGAAGTACTATACCATATAAACCCATATTTTGTTGGGATATTCCCTGAAATTTAGCCCTTAGGCGGTTTATTTGGTAGGTACCTCCAATAAATCGGTTCCTGAAATGGCCATTGATGATGGTTCTGAGTTGGCTTATAAGCCCCAGAGAAAAAATCACCATAACACCGGCAAGAGACTCCAAACAGTCGCGGCTCCATCTACCACCCAATGCGTTTAAAGGTATCGAGTGAGGACACAAAGGTGCCTGTGACGCGTTCGGTGAAAGTTGTTCGGTTGCGTTGTGTCCCAAAAACATCTGTCCCTGTTCCCCTCAAAAATTGCCCAGAGGAACACGTTAACTCCTACAAGGTTGTGCCCCCCAGTGATGTTTGTTGGTTTATAAACCCCATGAACTAGTTCGATATATCATGATATATCTACCATAAACTAAACATCATAAACCATAGTTATTGAAGTTATGTTCACCAACTTAGCTAACTATAGGGCACCACATTGTAGGCCCCAATGATTCGCCACAGGTGACCCTGAAACACTTCAGCAAGTGCTTCGTGTGCAACGAGGGCTGCGAGGCGATCAAACGTAACGCAGGGATTCTCACGAAAAAAATGGGGGATTCATGGGAACGTTTTGACAGGATTTAATAGGATTTGGTCGAGTTTACCGGCGTTTAGCCACCAAAAGTGAGGAATTATATGGAATTATAGCAATTGTGATGGGAAAATCTTGATAGATGTGGACAAACTTGAGTACCAACGATGCGATTCGGGACGTCCATTCGAATGGTGAACTTACGCCATAAATCCGTGGGATCCCACCCTAAAAAATCTTGATGCGGCCGATACACCCAGATTATATGCGTCCAAGTGATCTGATTTTCAGTGTACCCTCTGGTAAACTAACATAGCTATGGAAAGATCCACCATTTTTCATGGGAAAATCCACTATAAATGGTGATTTTCCATAGTTATGTTAAATTCCCAGAGGGTAAATTAACCCAGGTTTTTTTTTTGCTTGGCATCCCCATCATCATCTTCCCATCCTCGGATGAAGGTAAGATCAGGAGACGGATCAATCCTACAGCGTCATGAGGAGCGGTGAGACACCTGAAACACGGTATTTGAAAACCCACAAGCATTCGCAAACTCCTCAAGTAACTGCATAAGTGGTTTTCAGAACCCGTTTTCTCAAGCATTAATAAGTCAATAGCAACGAACTATTGCATGGAGCAGTTCATGGCATGGCTATGGGAAGAACAGGTGCATTTTTCATAGACAAATTAGACAAGCGTTCAGGGGTTGACAGATATGGTCGGTGGTTAGCTCTGCAACAGTGTGAGTCCGTGTGAGTGGAAAGCAACTCGTTCAACTCGTTTCATATGGGGGTTTCCATAGTCATGGGGCTACCCAGGATTCATGGTTTATAATGGTAAATCCCATTAAAATTATTTAAGGTATCAACACTCATAAATAGTATGCTACGAAAATGTACATCAAATCCCAATCTGTATGAGATTGGTAAAATTATTTAAAATTGATGTTTTGGGGGTTGCCCCTATTTTAGGAAACCAACTCATATATGTTTCTCAATTGTTGTGGAACCTGGACCAAGGTGCCGTCAGTTCGTTGTCGGCTGGCAGATCTATCCAACAAGTTAATGATGATTCTAACTTATTCAACTTATGACCCAACTTTTAACCATACGTGTCGATCATTTAAGCCACAAGTCTATCTATATAGTATAACATGTTATAACATGTTATAACTCAATATTAACTCAATTTATGGCCATATACATCCATATACCAGATCTTTACCATATTTTCCCATATGTTTACAGTGACCGACTGACTGACTGACTGATCTACAAAGATTCGCTGAAGATTCGCAGGTGCCCAAGCGTCGCTCGAAGCAGAAGCTCGTGGAGGACCGGGGGCCGGGGGGCGGCTAAACTGAAGGTTTTCGGATTGAAATGGGGATTAGTATAAATATTACCATGATTTATAGGGGTTTTATCATGGGATTATATTACCTATATTACCATGATTTTTTTCGGGGTTTTATATTACCATTTGTCAAATAGTTGTTTAGAAGTTTAGTATTGGTTGTTGATAATTCATCTGGAAGTGTTTTTTCCTCTTCATATATGTTTTTTTAATGGTGTTATTCACATTTTTTCAGATATGGTCCGTAGCTGAAGAGAACAGTCCTGTCCTGGAGGCGGTGATGTGAGTGATAATGGATGGTGAGTTTAGTGGAGAGTTTTCACCATGAATTAGAGATATTGAGATGGAAATAAAATCAGAAATATATGATAAATATGGGCATATAACATCATGAATATTCATGAATGGTGCTTGGTTGATGAGTATTGGATGGGGTATTTACCCGCCATGGGTTATCTTGGTGAGTTTTCAGGTGGTATGTTACATTATGTTACATTATACCTATGATTGATGAGCTTTATTTCCTGGCTTTCAAATCCAGATATCACTCAATGAATCTCCGATTTCATGGCTTAAGCCATCCACAAGGTAAACCTTGTTGGGGTAGTTTCATGATTCCTTGTTTTGCCAGCCATGAATGGAGGGTAATGGAGTGTTTACATACTACCCAGCCAAGTATGAACTATGTTTTTGGTTGACTTACTCAAGAAAACGCCAAAAACACATTGTTCCCAGGGCCTTAACCACGCCCACATATATGAGCACCGTCAAAAACTGCTGGACATCACCCCAAAATATGATTTTATCATATTTTATCCCCATGATATCCCCCATAGAATTTTATATTCCCTTTAACTATACCCACAACAATCATCACTCAACTTAGGAAACTTAAAGTTAAAGTATACTATCTATTCATAGATACACCACAACTATTCCTGGCTGATATACTATCCACCATATTATGTTCATCAACTTAAGATAAGTCAACTTAGAGTCTGGTGTCATTCAACATGGCTCGCTGGAACATCCTCCACAATTGGATGGTTGGAAACTCTGCAGGAACCCACCTCCTGTGAATTGTCTCCAGGCCAATCCATAAATTTTCATAGCCACTATACCATCATGAACACATCACTATTCTTGCTGGTGAATCAGTTAAATATAGTTAAATATAGTTAAAAATAGTTAAATATAGTTAAGTCCACTGAGATCACCATTAAATCACCCTTCAACCAGCATTTTTTGGGTCGATTTCCCTATCGTTTGGGGGCCCCCAAAGTGTGGCCACATAGCCATGTTGCCCCAGGAGCCGCTTCCCGGGCTCCCCGTGGAGATTTGTTGCAGTTCCTGCCCGCAGTCGTGCGCTGCCGAAATCGGTTGAGTTTCACCAACAAAATGACATGGGTCATTAAATGGGTGTGTCTGAAAATAGTGTACCCCTAAACCCAATGGTTTTGCTGATCATTATCCCTATTAAATGGCTATAATTGGGAATATACCCTACAACAAAATGAGGATTCAAAAATCGTTTGAGTTTAACTCATGCCGAAATAGTTCGAGTTTTTATGAGTTTTTCAACTTTTCACTAAGGCAAATGAGGTTTAACATGATTGAACTAGTAGTTAGTGAAAAGGAGGGGTTTTTTTCAAAACAAAAACTATGATTTAACTATAGGGAATATGTGGATTTAATATGATTTAATGGCAATCATGTAATTCATTAAAACTCTGCTACAATATTTGATATCCCATAGGGATGGGTTAAACTCATGGTTGCAACCAATATCCATAATATCTCACCAGGGCTTTAACTGTTTGTGTTTGATTACTCAACATGTGGTTTGAGAAGTTCCTCACAGCAGTTCGAAATCAGAGGGTGTGTGTGTGAGAGTATGGTAACCCAGAATCCAATGTTTTGAGACATTATTTACCCCATCACTAAATGACCAAATGACCTGAAAGAGTTTATTTTCCAGTTGCAGACACACCCAATATTATATAAATTTATATAATACATATCCAATCCAACATGTCTATATAACTGGATGTTGTTGGCCTATATCCCATTGTATTCTATCACCTGTTGATATTAAACATCCCTGCATCCGCCATGTCGTCACATGTGGTTTCATCCCGAATTTCATCCCTTACCTCGGGCATGTTTTATGAATTTTCCCTGGGGGGTGTAACAAAAATGAAGGGGGATAGGATTGGGATTAGCATCTGGTTATTTAACATAGCCATGGAAAATCACCATTTTTAACGGGTAAACCATCTATAAATGGGCCATTTTCCATGGCTATGTTAAATAACCAGAGGGTATATTCCCAGCGTGGTGGGTTTCAGCACTCGAAGTCACTCGAACTCAAGTCGTTGGTTAAATTTTCGGGGAAAACCGGAAAAGGATTCCGTCAACGGATTCTTGCCGCCAAAGAAATATGATGCATGTTACCCTCTGGTAATTTAACGTAGCTATTGAAAATGGCCATTTATAGTGGATTTTCCCATTAAACATTGTGATTTTCCATAGTTATGTTAGTTTACCAGAGGGTATGTATGCATCTCTCGGATATATCCACCATAGACATCCATAAACTCTAGTTAGCTTAGGCGTTGACTGAACTCACCCATTCTTTAAAAAAACGCAGGTACCATCAGAAGTGTCTCCCTCCACATGCCCGTGAACTGAAGAAGAACTGGGTCTTTTGGCGCTGAGACTGGCAGGATGCGCTGGTCACAGGTTGTGACACTTTTGGGCTGTCGAATTTGAGGTTACCCTCTGGTAAACTAACAAAAAGCTATGGAAAATCAATGAAAATCACCATTTTTCATGGGAAAATCCACTATAAATGGCCATTTTCAATAGCAAACTGTTAGTTTACCAGAGGTTAAACAATCACCAACCCCTAGGACCTATTAAGCCCCTATTGTTGGGAGGGTGACCTGAAGTGAGCTGAGCCAAAACCCAGATGCTTCGTGACTTGCTGGTTGATGAAGACTTCATGAAAAATGGTGATTTAAGTAATGTGATTCTACGGAACGGAGATCCGGTTGCCACTCAGAAAGAGAACTTGGTCTACGAGTCTACCCGCATTGGGTTTCACCGGTTTTATCCCCATGATCAGCATAAATCACCAGCAATCCCCATATATTAGCATACATGCCCACATCCCCACACATCACATGATTCTCATCTGCCAAAAAAAAAGGGATTTTCAAAAAACGACTTCATCCCAAATCCCTATAAAATTGCCCACAACAAAAGTCGGGGTTTTGTGAGTTCACCGTCCAACGGCCCCGCCGGCCCCAAGATCTGCTCTTGGCACTACTGTTCGCAATGCAGTCCGCGCGCCCAGACTCGGTTCGTGGCAGTTTGACGGGAGTTCAGTTCGGTGATTTCACCGCCGAGGTGGTGAACGATCACGTCATGTTTTTTTTGGGTGAATTTTCATGGGAAAGCAGCTAACATCAGCTAAGAAAATATGCATCTTTTGTGGTATCTGGAAGTTGCCATGAGCTCCATTCAGATCTTTTTAAGGGCCATCCCCAAACTCAGGAAACCTTGGTAGCTGAATCCTTTTTGCCAAAAGCAAGATACATAGCAATCATGTTTTTTTTGTCTCAGGGTATCCAAGATTGGCCATAAAGACTGTATTGGAACCTCATCACCAGGCTCTGGAAGATGATGTAAACCCTGCCGATGGCGTCTGCTGGGCGTAGCATTCCATTGATTGATTGATTGCTTGATTGATTGATTGATCATGTTTACTAGCTGTAAGATGCTGTAGGCACATGAGATCTATTTAGATCATTTTAGATCCACATTCTCTGGTTGTTCGGACTGTTAGGTTCAATCCCTGGTTAAATCCTTCGGGGTGTAGCTGGGGTTATGGACATAACCACGGCAAGAAATGCGTAAGTTGGGATGTATATAAATTCCCGTATAAATCCCATAATATCCCGACTATTCAACTTATTCAATGGGGTACTGTAGATATCCATAGTTCAACAAGCTGAATGTCCATAGTTAGTGGGGTTTATAATGGTATTTATATAGTTTGTTTATATATTTATACCATTTATTTATACCATTTATACCATTATTTATAGTATAAATACAATTTTTTCAACCCCACTATGGATATTCATCGTTTATAAAATGGCGATAGATCTGAACAAATTCATTCAGTGGAACTGCTCCTGCCCAGATCGTGGTGTGGCAGATGTGGGTGGCATGTTGATCCATTGCTTCTTGTGCCAATCCGCGGGGGTTGTGACGTTTTTGGTGAAGCGACTCAGTTGAGAGGGTGAACATTAATGCTCATTATTACGGTCATTTTTTATGTTTCAAACGTTATGGGAAATTTAACTGACCAGCATTCAGAATCAGATTAGAATCATTAGAAGATAAAAGGCAAACCTTGATGATTTGATATGATTTGTATGTATAAATTATGAACCAAACCAGGCAGTGTATTTTTATTGCGAAATATTTTGATGACCGATCCTATAGTGGTATCGAAGAGATTGAGGACTCTAAGATTGAACAGAATCTCTCACAGATATATGGTTGCCAGTTTTAAAGTTGATATCTAGAATTAACCTGGTTAGGAAATGTTAGGAAAAGATCAGATGAATTTCTGAAGACGGGTGAAGATACGCGCTCGACAACTCACATGCCCCCCCGGGAAGTAAGGTTGCAAGATGATGTTCTTTGTGAAAATCATGTTTTTAGTCAACAACTGTCTTAGCTGTCCAACATCATTGACAATCATATTGTTTCTGAGGATCATGTTCTTGTTCAAAAATAGCCTCTGGTTATTTAACAGTTCGCCATGGAAGCCATGGCCCTTTTTTTTAGATGGTTTACCTATTAATAGCATGGTGGATCTTTCCATGGCTATGGCACAAATAACCAGATGGTCAACACGATTATCTAAAGGGCAATGGTTTTTGCGGTTGACCCCCAAATCTATCAGGGATGGTTGCGACTCATGTGCGAA